CTGAGAGGTGTTGGTGCTTTGGTGGGGTGGACTGACCTCCCCTGCCACTGCCTCCAGGTCTCCTTGGAGCACAGCTCAGTGGGGAAGGGCTGGAAGGTGCCTCCTATGGCCACTTCAAAGGGTCTGACTGTCCTGCCAGCACGTGGTCATCAGCTGTGAAACCAGGGAGCCTGGAGGTGTCCTCTGTGCCCTCTGTAACTTGCTTTTGTTCTTTCATTCCAGTTGATAGGAAGGAATCCTGGTTTCTGTTGATCTTGGTGTGTGTTACGTGTAAAAAAAAAAAACAAAACATCCAGTCTGTGTGATCCAAATCCTTTGATAGGAAAGATACTGGGACTGTCTTGGGGGTTGTGATCTGCCAAAGAGCTGGGCAGCACTGCAGGGTCCTCTGCCTGCTGGGGGACCTGCCACAGCTGTTGTGAAGCTTGGGAACTGGAGAGGTGGGAAATGTGATCCCTGCTCTGTTCTTGTGGGAACTCTGGATGAGTAAGATGGACCTGTGCACAAGGGAAACTGCAGTAAAGGATGGAATTAGTAGGAACATGGGTATGTGGTATCATGAGAGTATAACCTTGGTGGGTTAATGGCAAGTCAGGTCTCCCAGGAGAGATGGGCTGATGGTTGGACTTGATCTTGAAGGTCTTCTCCTACCTTGTTGATTCTACGATTCTGTAAGAGCTGTGGAGGCCTCAAGAGGAGTCCCCAGGGTGGAGAAGGGCTGCTCTCATGGTTTCTCTGTTTCCAGAGGCATTTGGCAAGTTGTGCCAAAGGCTTTCAGGGACCCTGGGTAAGTGATCCCATGAATGAGAGGGAAGCCCCTTTACATGCTTGAGGGTGGGGAAAAAAAATAAATCTAACTGGTTAGATTTTTCCAGGAGTTTCACAGGGAACTGCTGGAAGCCACAGTGTCCAGTGCTACTGTGTCCTGGTTAGGAGAGGCAGTGGATGAGTGCAGGGCATCTTGCCCACACTGACTGTGACTAGTAAGGCTGAGGCTGCTGGTTGATCCAGAGGAAGATTCAGTGCAGCTGGAGTGGACTTGGAGCCTGTTGTGGTTGAAGATCTCGATTTCAAACCTGCTGTGATGACCTCTGAGCAGCATGAGAGCAGAGTCTGGACCTGAAGGTAGGTGTGTGAACACAGATGTGCTCAGCCTCCCCCAGCAGGCAGAACCCCAGATGGAATGGTAGGAGTTAATTAGGACAAGAAGGCCCAAGTGAACATGATTCTCTGCAGCTCCAGAAGCAGCTTGACCTCCAGCACCACGTGTAGCTGAGCTGCAAGTGTTGCAGAGTAGTTGCCAAGCTTGTCTATTCGTAGGTAAAGTTTTATCTACTTTGTTGTTAAATTCGGGTTCTCTAAACTAAAAACTCCAGAAGAAGCCAGGGAAGGGGGGGAGATTCCTGTGCTCCTGTAATGACTTCCCACAAGAACCTGTGTGGCAGTTGGAGCTTGTGAGAACAAGGGTCTGAAATGGGGACTGAGCAACAGCAGCTCAGGCAGGGGGAGTCACACGTAATGTGGTAATTATTACGTGGGTGTGGTAATTACATTAATTAATTAAGCATTACATGGCTTGGGGCACTTAGAAGAGCTCTGTGCAACACTCAGCTGGACCTTTGTATGTGCTTTGTGATGGGGGATGTTAAATGTGGGGAGTGGGGACCCCACTGCATCCAGGCACCCCCATCCCAGGCCTTGTGTCCATTGCCCAGCCCAAAACATCCCCTTTGGCCAAAAGGAAAAAAAAAAAAAAATAGCAACAAAACCCAGGCATTTCTCCAGGTTGTAAAGTTGTTGGTTTGTTTTTAATGATGGCTGTTGGGAGTTGCTCAAAGGTTGGGGCTGTCCCAGTCCCAGAGATGATGGCAGCAGATGAGTGTGATGGTGCCACGTGGCTGTGGTGTTCACTGTGCATCCTACCACACCTAAAGGACACAGAGGGAGTAGCATGGGGGGGCAAGGGGGTCTCTAATTAATATCTCTGATTTCAATTGGTCCTTTGCACTCCTTCACCCATCATGAGACATTATCACATTTTTACTTTTCACTACAATTCAAAGTTCTGCATCTACCAGCTTCTGACTGACTCTGTCATACATCTGTAGTAGTATTTTTTTATGTTTAAACACAATAAACAGCTTGGCTATGGAAATCAATTATGAAAGACAAAAGTATAGTTTGAGACCACATGAGATGCAGTCCTAGTGGGCTTCACCAGAAGTATCTATTTGTCCTTCCTGCTTCACCACAGCAGTAGTTGAGGACTAGTTAGAAATTCAGAATGCTAACAAATCTTTCTGCTCCTTCCTTCCTCAGCCTGCTAATGAGGAATATTTTTAGCATGGTTGTCAGCCTTGGATTTATTTTTTTTAATACAGCTGACATGACAAAGCTGTGCTTGTTCTACACTGACTGGGCATTCTGAGCATTGCACTGAATGAAATTCAGATGTTGTGAGAGGGAAGCAGTTCATGTGCTGATGTGAGTGGCACCTCAGCAGAGGGCTGGGCTTCACCCCTGCACTGCATGGACAGAAGCTCTTCTTCCACTCTTAACAAGATAGAAATAACAGCATCCTAAACCATTCCCTACTGGAAGAGGGATGAGCAGAAGCTGCTGTTGTAGGAAGAGACGTGAGAAGTTACCAGCCCAAAGCTCAGCTGTTTTTCCAGTCTTTACCTGATGTTCATGTCTCAGGTGTGTCTCTCATGGCCTCACTCTCTGGCACTTTCCTCCTTGCCAAATACTTGCCTGGGAAGAAAACCAAAATCTGAAGGCATATAATGTTTGTAACATCTACAGGGACTGGATCTAGTTGTATGAACAGGCCTAATTCTTATTGTACCTTGATGATGTCAGCAAAATATCATGACGACCTCACTCCAAACAAACATTTCCATTCTCCTGAAACCCAACATACAAGTTCCACAATCTAGTTACACATGCCACGTAACAACAATTCACCTTTTCCCAGCATCCTGACAGGGCACAGTGCAGGCTACAGCTACACATACTTCTCAGTAACTCTTGGTTCATTGGTTCTTGCTGATGGGAGCTTAAAACAACATTATATGACATTAAATCTTTCTAGCATTAATGGCTCCCAAAACAATTATTCCTGTGATTGTTGTGTTTCTTGTTTGGTTTGTTGGGTTTGTTTTTTTTTAAGACCCATTTATTTTGTCTTCAGATTGTCCCAATCTAGGGCTTGTTGGTGCCAAGTGACATTTATGGTGTCTGGTTTGGTGCTTCTTGAGCTTCTGCTCTTCACCCTTCAACCTCTTGGAGTGCTCAGGGTTCCTCATGCACTGTGCTGAGTGGCAGCCTCGGGTAGTTATGAATGTACAAAACATCTGACCAGCAGGTATTGGAAAATTGTATCCAGGAAATCCCCTGGATTTGGTAATAAACTAAGAAGATCTTTTAGAATGGTTCAGCATCAGAATGCCTTCTGCTCACGATACTGAATTGTTCCTGTCCATAGATTTCATGATCTTTAATTTGTTTATGAGACAGCTATTAAAAAAATGGTTCTGTTTGGAGGTGGTCTAGCTACACTGGAGAATGCTGGGTTTACCAGGGAGCACTGGTGCAGGGAACTGAAGGCTTTCAGTTGACAACTGTCTTGAAGACTCTGCAGTTGACAACGAGCCTGGGCAGAATGGCAGACCAGGACTGACACGGCCCTCGGGCTCTAGGAAGGAAAGAGGCTCCAGAGTGCAGGGCTGCCTGCATTTTGTTCCAGTTTTCCTGCTTCTTTCAGTCCCAGGCTGTCCAAAACCAGTAGGTCACTGAAGTAGTTTTGTTTGGTAGGCTTCTGAATGCTTTGTTGTTTCTTTTATTTTCTTCCCCTTTGTTTGTTCTTTTTGTGTGTGTCCATAAGTCCTCACCAGCCCCAGGGGTTGTGCAGCTGTGTCATACCCACTCCTGGACAGGTCTTTTGTAGTAAACAACGTTCTGCTGCACCTCTTTGTTTTTGAACTGGAAGATCGTGTAGACCAGGACAAGGATGCAGAGGGACAGGAT